AAAAAATTTATTTTGGTAATGATCGTCATTTTACACAAAATGAAATAAGCCAATCACAGGGAAAGCCCGCTATGTTGTCATGTCCCTGATGCGTGTTTTAATTATTTGTGTAAAATCATTATTTAGAAATATGGAAATTTTTTAATATTATTATTTAGAAATTCGCCCAATGCAGACATTTTCCTGAAGGCTTATACTATCTTACCTGGCTGTGTGGAATAGGATAACCCTAGGACAGACAAATTCTGATGGAAAATCACTAAAATCATCACGATTATCCATGATTATCATCAGTTAAATTTCAATTATTCATTCTTCATTCATTCATTTCATCAATATCAATAATGTCATTGTTATTTCATTTCATAACAATTTCGCATTGCACATATAACACAAGATGAGTTGGTTTGGTAAAAATGACCAGATGATCTAATGATGAATGGTTAGAGTGAGTGTGTTTGGCTTGAGAGAGAGACACCCTAAAAAACTTTCAATAATAGGGTGTGGTGATTTCACATTTTGCATCTTACATATGTGCATATATAACACAAGACAAGTGAAGTTTGTAAAAATGATTGGATGATCTAATAAAAAAAAGAATTGAATTTCATGGTTCCAGGACATACCAAATTCAAGTGTGATGGTAGTTTTGGATTGATTAAAAAACTCTATAGAAGAACAAGAGTAGATTGTCTGGATCATTGGTTGTAGTAAAAAAGTCTAGTCCAGCAAGATTGAACAAAGCTCAATGTTATAATGGTGAAAAGGCTTTCAACACTTAGATATTAAAGCTATTTTGGGAATTTATTTTAAGAAATTGCCAAGCATGCAGAAATATCAATATTTTCTTTTTGAAGCATCTAAACCTGGTGTGGTCAAAACTCAGGAGGTTGCTAATGGTCTTTTTGCTGAATTCAATTAATTGAAAATCAAAAAGGAGATATTTCTGAAGAGATTAAGGATTTATCTATTCTATATTTACACCTCCTCCTTTAGATTACAAAAGGCAAGGATATCTTTACCAAAATCTTCTCCCATTTGTGAAAGATGAATACAAAGATATTACTTGTCCAAGACCAATCTATACTGGCAATGAATAAAATATTTAGGATAAAATCACTTTTCATGACTTTGCCACTCATGAATTTGTCCCTTACTGTCATAAAGTTTAATAAATTTAATCTTTCTATTCCACTTTTTAAAGTAAAAAGTACTAAAATAATTTATACATTTAATATATCTTTGCAAAAAGGATATAAGTATATATTAAAAGAATAAATAAAAAAAGGAACAAACAAGAAAATCATGACAATCATCCTAAAAGAACAACAAAATAAAGATTTACTAAATAAAATCAAAGCAATGTGACAACTCAATTAACATCTCCACAAACTGGACCACAAATCTTACCAAACTCTGTATCTCATGCTATCTCACATCCTATAATGCAAACAGTTCCACAAGCTAAGAATCAACATACAATACAGTTACCAGTTCAACATGCCAATCAACCTACAACACAAAGTTTGCACAAGCCAACTTCACAAAATTTACCAAAACAAGCTCACATTTTGCCACAGCCACAACCTACTCCTAATACCAATGCACAATTATCTTCAACAACAACATCATCATCTCCATCATCTTATTCTTCTTTAAAATCTACTACACAAAATTTGTCACAATCAACATCAAATACTCTGACACAGAGGCAAACAACACAATACATGTCTCAACCAAATACACAATCATCATCACAACAGGTACAACCTTCTATACAACCTCGTATATCTCAAAGCTCTTCATCTACCCAATCTCAAGCACAAATACAACCTCTTCAATCACGAGTTCCATTGTCACGGTTACCTTCTAGACAAATACAGCCAGTAACTATAAATACACCCACTGTAACTTCATTATCAACAACACCTCTACCATCAATAATGACATCATCATCACAATCAACAAAAATTCCATCACAAGCATCTTTGAATACAAATAGTTTTGTGGGTTCATCATCCACTTTAACTTCTGGTATTCAAAGATTGAATACTGGCTTTCCTATTACTCCCTTCATGCAAACAGTGATTGATTCTGTTAATCCAAACCAAATCCTGGCAATTCAAGAACATTTACGTAACCCTGAATCATCAAGCAATATTACACCTGAACAAAGAAGTGCGTTAATAAATCAATTGTCTATAGTCTATCAATTATTAACATCACAAACAATGTTAAACAATCAGCATATTCATCAAAGACAACAATCAGCACATTTGCCACAATTTCAGCAGCAACAATCATCATCACAAATGCACCAAACACAGTCCATTAACCAACGTTCATTTTATCCTGTGATAAGTCCTCGGCAAATAGTAAGATGTGAAGTACTATTAGAATTCAAGGAAAACAAACATGATAAATGGTTGTTTCCAAAGGATGCCATTTTAGAAGCAACTACAATGTCTGAACCACATGATGTTATCACATCATTTTATCTACCTCAGAATGATGACAAAATGGGTAGTAGTAAAGATTGTCAAGCTGTTACAATTCAAATGACACAATTAACACAATTGATGTTAGACTCATTACAGGAAGCAACAAATGATATATCCATAGTATACAAATCAATGACTGAAAAAATAAAGCATCAATCCAAAAGAGCTTACTTAAACTATCGATTGCCAGTTGACTATCCAGAAGATTTATTAGATATAATTGGACAAAGAGTTAACAAGCTAGATGGATCACCTCAAGATTCTTTTGTGAAACTGAAAAAAACCAAAATAGAACATGAAAAAGCCAAAGAAAAAACACGTGCTATGGAAATTGATGTAGAAATGGATGCTGAGGAATCAAATAAGGATATGATAGATAGAGAGACTGTGGGTCAATCTGAACCTAAAAATAAGCGAGTTAAAGCTTCAAAAAGCTCTGAGGGGAGAGCATCTGCAAAGTCTTCAACTACACAAAAGAAGTCGAGATCAATTCCTGAATTTAATATTCCTGTATTACAAACATCTAGTTCTACTACAAGTGGAGGGAATAAACGTTGTGCATATTGTTACTGTAAAAGCACACCAATGTGGAGGAGAGGTCCTGATGGTGCTGGAACATTGTGTAATGCTTGTGGAGTCAAATGGAAACAAGGGAAAATATTACAGTCATCTAATAACATGCACACAAGTGAAATTAATGATTCACAGTCAACAACATCTCAACATTATAAATCTAGAAAGGATTCATTTCCAACATCTGGATCATCATCTATTACTGCAGCAGCAGCAACTAGCACTAGCAACATTTCTTCTATCAAATCTAAAAAGAAGCCTGGAAGATCATTCTCTTTAAGTGAAGGAGCTACAGATGAAGATGAAGGTCGTGAAAAAATTCGAAGTAATTTTGGTCTGCAAAAAAACAATAGTGCATTTTCAAAAACTTCAGCATCTTCATCCAAAAAAGCAGCTACTTTCAAAGGTTTGTATTGTAAATTTGTAATAAAAAAAAAAATATTATTGAGGGTCTATATTATATATTGATTTTATTTTTTTTTATTTTTCATGCATTTAATAACTATTTGTTGACTTTTCTTTAAAAGCTTCTACTGTTTCTACAGTTTCCACAATACTTGGAGGTGAACTTGCTGATTCTCCAGGTAGATTAATAAAATTTTATATAAATTTTAAATTTATACTTGTTAGTTGAGATGTTTTAGTTGACATGTTTTAAAATTTTAGCAAATACTTCTTCATCAGATTTAATAAATAGTCCTAAAAAATCACCACAGTCATTTCCACAAGGAATATTGTCACATAATTCTCGTAATTTTAATAATCCATCTGTTTCTTTTGAGTACCCAATAAGTTTAACATTAAATTCAATTGCATTTGGACCGGGAAATGCATATTTTTCTCATTCAAATTGTTCAGTCACAATACATGAAAACTTCTTGAAAATAAATTTGTCAAAGGAAGGCTGGTCAAGGTTTAGGAAGTTTTGAACAAGGTCACTCATCATCACCTTTTATATATAATATGAAAGACATCTCTTTATTAATTTTGGTTTTTTTCCCAACCTTTAATCTATTAATTAAATAGGTAGAAGAGAACCAATTCGAATAGATATTAAATCTGATAGTTTAGGAGTTGGGAAATTAGAGGAGGAAAATTATTATCATTTTACTAGTACCTTGAAACGTAAAGCATTAGTTAGTGAAAAAATAGCAGAAGAAACTGATGAGGAAAGGCTTGAACGACAAGTAAAATTAAATAAATTTATATGTTTATGTATAATATATAATATATATACACATTATCATTTATTTTTAATTGATTAATTAGAGTAAAGTTCTAAAGAAAGAATCCATAAAAAAAGAATTAGAAACAGTTAAAGCAGCATTTTATTGTGCATTATGTGACAAACAATATGCTAAAATATCTGAATATGAAAATCATTTAAGTTCATATGATCATAACCATCGAAAGGTAATAATTATAGTAATAATAATAGTAGTAGTAACAAGATGATGATATAATAATTAATAATTTTAAATTTTTTCTGGGGGTTGAAAAAAATTTTTTTGTAGAGATTTAAAGAGATGAAAGAAAGTAACCGCAGCATGGTGATAACTGACAAGAAAAGAGAAAAAGAACGTAAAAGACAAGAAAAGGAACTTGCACGAATTCAACAAGCAGCTCTTCAAAGAGCAAATAATAAACTCTTTTGATATATATATGTTCTTTTGTGCTATTTATTATTTATTTATTTTACAATTTTGTTTAGATTTTTCACATTTCAAAAAAATATTTATTCAATATCTATAAGCAAAAAAAACCAATAAATGATTTTCATCATGTTTATTTTGATATGCTATTTAACAACAATATCTTTTCTTTCTGTTCTTGCTTCTGCTTAAGCTTGTATTTGATGAAATATATGAGTTGTTGAACAGGTTATATAAACAATGTTGAATCATCATTGTAATTTTTAGTTGATGGTTGTTTATGGACAAACATACAAGTGAGGGGTTTGGGTGGACCAATCATTTATCTTATGCAAAATAAACAAGACATTACATAATGAATCTTTAAGTATTTATCAGTATTTAAGTAAAGAAAAGACCATTGAAATAGAAGATGCAAATTCTTATGGAAATGCTGTTTAAAGAACCAGAATTGTTGCTTCATGCTTTCATAAATTCTGGCACCTTTAAACTGCCCCATGACTTAATCTTAAGCTTAGTAGAATCAACAGATTGGTGGGATCTTGAATATGATATATCAATATGGGCTCCTCATTTGATTAATGACTCTTCTGATCCAGCATAGTCTGGAATAATGATAATCAATGAATTCAGTAAAAATTTTGTATAATTTATTTTTGGCTAAAATATTGATACATCATTATAATATACTTATCATGGTTTCATGAAAACATTGACTAAAGGATGCATCACAGTTGCAGGGGTCATAGATACAGCATCTCCCTTTAATGTTATTAGCAAAGAATTGTTCAATAAGCTTAAAGAGGACTATGGAGTAGTGTCTGTATCTAAACTGCATTAAAAATATTATAAAGATGCCATAGGTGAGATAAATACAATTTAGATACAAAGGAAAATACCATAGCTTACCAGATACTGATACTGCTCCCTTTGAGATTGTTAAATCACTCAAGCATGAATTGATTTTGGGACAATTACGGTTGATGGACCATGAAGTAAAAATCAACTTGCATAGCAATAAATAATGTGTGTATTCCAATTTTAGGTGATAATAAAGAGGATTATTACAATTTCCCTTATATCATTTCAAGTGAACCTGAGTCTGAAATGTCCAAATTGTCTTCATCTGATTCAGATTCTAAACCTGATCTAGCTTTGAAGGAATAATCATCCAGCAACCAAAGACAACAAATGTCAAAAGGAGTATTGCAAAATGTTTTGTGATGCAGAGAAAATTTTGGTCTCATCACTTTGTGGCTCATAAAATTATCTGTATAGATGTATAAAAAGGTTGCTCACCCTATTCAAAAACATCATCCTGATCCTGAGCCCAAAAGATAATGTTGACAAAATTATTAATTTATATACATACAATGGAGAACTTGATTATACTATTAGTATCAGCACTAATGGAATGCCTTCAAATCTTTGCTTGAGATGAGCTAAAACTTTCCTTGGAAGTTCTGAAGATGGAGGTACTTGCTCCAAAACTTTTCACAATTTTTTTGCATCACAAGCAATGCCCATAATACATGAATCATTTTTCTGCCTTTATATTTATGCCCCATTTGAGGCAAATACTGGTATGGTATCTGTTATTTCTTCCTGCCTAGCAATTAATTCTTGAAATAGCTGTTGATCTTGGCCAAGATTGGCAGTCAAATTTTCATCTAGCTTGAAGCATACATATATTTATTAAATATCAAGACTCTAAATTTTGAAACCACTCAGGGTTGAAGGAAAATTTCAGCAAAAGACACTAATTGATACAATCTAAATATAACACCATTAGTGAGAATGAGTTTGCTTTGGAAGAAAAGACTGTACTACATAAGTCTACTTTTGATTGGTTTAAAGATCATTATAAATATAAATTTTAGAAACAATTCTGTTGTTGTTTCATAGCGTTAAAATGTCATATAAGAAACGAGCTGAAGCTTTGACATTCCCAAAATCAAATCGACCTCAAACAGGGGAAGAAATGTCATCTATGTTAAGTTATAGAGATAGGTAAATAATTTCATAATGTTTTTTACCTTCAAAAAAAAAAAAAGTTCATAGATCTATAAATTTTATTTAAAAATTTTATTATGTTTATAGTGGCATTCTTCTATTATCATTGACACAGTCTAGACAAGCTTGGACAAGCTCTATTCTTAAAAAATTTTCGTCAAAGAATGAAATTTTTTTTAAGCCAGATTTACCTGAAAATACTAATTCTAATGCAGTTGTTACACTTCTTGGGAAATTTACTTTAACAATAGGTCCGCATACTTTTTATGACACAAAATTTTACAAGGCCATATATGAAAAAGAAAATATAGAAATACAAAGCAATGTGACAACTCAATTAACATCTCCACAAACTGGACCACAAATCTTACCAAACTCTGTATCTCATGCTATCTCACATCCTATAATGCAAACAGTTCCACAAGCTAAGAATCAACATACAATACAGTTACCAGTTCAACATGCCAATCAACCTACAACACAAAGTTTGCACAAGCCAACTTCACAAAATTTACCAAAACAAGCTCACATTTTGCCACAGCCACAACCTACTCCTAATACCAATGCACAATTATCTTCAACAACAACATCATCATCTCCATCATCTTATTCTTCTTTAAAATCTACTACACAAAATTTGTCACAATCAACATCAAATACTCTGACACAGAGGCAAACAACACAATACATGTCTCAACCAAATACACAATCATCATCACAACAGGTACAACCTTCTATACAACCTCGTATATCTCAAAGCTCTTCATCTACCCAATCTCAAGCACAAATACAACCTCTTCAATCACGAGTTCCATTGTCACGGTTACCTTCTAGACAAATACAGCCAGTAACTATAAATACACCCACTGTAACTTCATTATCAACAACACCTCTACCATCAATAATGACATCATCATCACAATCAACAAAAATTCCATCACAAGCATCTTTGAATACAAATAGTTTTGTGGGTTCATCATCCACTTTAACTTCTGGTATTCAAAG